TGAAGTTTGTATGTATGTTGACCATAATTGACTTTTTACCCAATACAATTGATTTTCAATCATTTGAGCAATTGACTGAGCAAACTTATGATGCAAGACTTGAAACTTGATATGAGCATCCTTGAAGACATATGAAGAACTATGGAAATCACCTGAGACCTTTGGGATCTAATCTTCCTTGAGAAACTCAAATCCCTATTTGTAGACCCATTGCTTAGGAGAAATATTTGTCTGGTCAACCCTTGAGCTATCTTGAGCAAATGAGGACCTCATGAGAATATTCTTTTTGAAGAAGATGAGAGGGTAAATTTTGGGGTACAATAAACCCCTTGGCTAATATATGAACCTTATTTCTAAGGGTTTTTGAAAATATTTTTTTTTGCAAAATTTAAATTCCACCACATATGTAATAACATGGTCAAATGCTATAAGCAAAAATAAATGAATAATCAAATAAAAAAATATTAAAAATTTAAAAATTAAGAAATACCCTAAAGCCTAAAACTAAAAGGTAAGGTTTCTAAACCTAGGGTTGAGTCCCCAACAGAGTCGCCAGTTGTAGTAACTGGTTTTAAAACGAGAGTCGTCACCCTTAATTTTTATCCTAAGGAAGGGTATATAAAGGAGTAACCCTAAAAAGTCAGAGATTCTAGTTTTTTTACTCGGTTTTAGACGAAGGAAAGGTGTTAGGCACCTCTCATCTACCTTGTTCACAAGGATACTAGGTTTAGAATTAATCTTTAGGGGATAAAGTTTTAGTTTTTTATTAGGGGAACTCGCCACGATATTAATCATATGCCTATGTATCTTCTTATGAGGAATTAGACTCTCAATTCGTAGTTCGCAGTTGATTTGTGTTTTTTTATAGATTACGAAGATATTTGAATTTCCTGCATACTTAGCCTAGGTGTGTGAATAGCAGAAATTTTAGACAAAGCGCGCAGTTGACTTAAATATATTTGTAACCCTTTTTGAAAATTAATTATTGAATTAATTTTATTTATGAAAATAATTAATTTGTTTGTTGAATATTTTTTAGGTGTTAATTATCGAAAGTATCTTAGTTAAATGCATGATTAAAAATATTTTAATGCAATAAATAGAAAAATTTATTTGAATGCATTTTTGGAAAAAATAATATGATTTATAAATATATTAAAATTATAAATATATATGGAAATATAAAATATGGAAAATAATTATAAGAAAATAGTGAAGAAAATAAAACGCATGGGGTGTGGATTTAGTTGGGGTAGTAAAAATAGGGAGGTGCATATAGTAGGGCCCTGAATTCAGATATTGAACTCAGGCCCAACGCAAAAGGGAGGTGTAGGTCTGAACTGCTTAGTAAAATGGGAGATATTAATAGTAGGGATCCAAGTCCAGATTTTGGACTGGGCCCATTAGGCTAAGGGAGGTACGTTGTTGCACTGATTAGTAAAAACAATAAAAAAGAAGGGGTGCATTAAGATATGGGCCAGGCCCAACACAAGTTTGAGTCGGTCTATACCGCGTACAGATGGATATACTGTGATATCATGGGTATGCGCATCAGGGGCATTTGATTAGGATCATGCGGCTATAGAAAAAGGTGTATGGCAAGGCGTGATGCACCAGATCATAAGGAGTTATATAATTTTATTTTACAACTTATTCCATCATTTTGTTAACCCTTCTCTCTCTCTCTCTCTCTCTCTCTCTCTCTTTGACCTGACTCTTCTTCTTTCTCTCAGTCTCACTCAACAACACGAAAACCCTAAAACTGCCGCCGCTTACAAACCCATACCCCAATGGCGATCAACCCCTGAACCCCATGGTAAAACCCTACGCCCCTCGATCTAACCTAACGAAAACCCTAACAACAATTTAATACGGGAATAAAAAGCTAAGTTTATTTTGGTTACCTCCTTCGGGAATCTGTCTTTTTTGTGCCTCCTCTGATTTCCGGGTTTTCGATCCTTTCTTTTCCCTTTTTGTTTTGCAGAGATTGGTCGATGGCGGCGACGACGATGAAGGTGATGATGAAGGTAACAATGGTGATGGTTTGAGAAAGACTAGGGTTTCAGATATTGAAATCCTAGGCGACAATGATGGATATGTGGCATTGAGATGGAGGTCCTCAGTCAACTTTTATGTTCTTCTTCTTCCCAATTTTTCTGTAAATTTTTCTTTATCAATTTCTGTTTGTCCAACTTTACTGTAATCTTAGGCTTTTTATAGAGTTTTTTAGGAATTAGTAAATTAGGAAATATATTAGCTTGTCTGTAATTTTGTTTCAAGTTTTATTTTGTTTATGTTTTGGTCTTGACCTTATTTCCGAATTGTAACGATTTTTGTTGTAATTATTTGATAAGGTTATCATTTGTTTCTGCTTTTGATTCGACTATATAATGTTTTGATTTAATGTTGATTAAGTCTTGTTTGATTTTGTACATATATTTTTTTTTGAATTTATTGTACAGTTTGATGAATGGATGAATAAGGGTTTGTTTATGTATTTAGTTTGATTCGTATAGTAACCATTTTCATGCGTTTTTCTTTTCAATCAAAATAATACGCGTTCTTGTTTTGGGGTTGGGCCTGTAATGGCTTTGGGCTGTGCGATTGAGCTTCGAGTTTTTTAGTCATTGTTTTTTCTCCAAATAACCAAAACTGATATAAATCTCAATAATAACAAATATAATAGTAATTAATAAAGATAATCATAATAATAGTAATGATAATAATAAGATTAATAATAATTGTGAGAAATCATGGCTAAATAACCAAAAGTCAGAAATTGTTTTCTAGTCAACCCTAACTCAATGGACCTCTCCAAATTTGGGCCAATCCGATATATTCTTTAACTAGGCTATTAATTTCAAACACACACCCCTAAAAGTGAATAAAAATCTTAGTGGGCTCTTTAAAAAAATTTGCAATGTCTTCATGAGGCTTAACCGATTACACCTCCCATGTGTACTAAAATGAACCACATAGTTTATTGGGCCAGCTTAAAAACGCATCCTCTTAATTTATAAACGAGACAAGAACTTAATGGGCCATCAAACTTTGATGGTCCATTTTGAGGCAACACACCACCCTTTCATGAATTTAAAACCTCCCCATAAAATAACATCTAAAATAGACAAAATTTAAATAATATGAACATAAATTAGAAACACAACAATAATATGACTGTTGAATTGATAGAGCAAATTTAAGGTATGACAGGACGAGTACAAAGTTAGTTTTGAATCTTGAAAAAAAATCATATTTATGGAAGGTTGATTCTATCTAAAAGACTTATTTCCCTCAAACTTCAAGACTTGTGTGATAAACTGAATACTCTTTTGAAGCCTTTAAGTAAATGAGAAATTGTTTCTTTAGGAAGAGGTTTCTATGGATGTTTTTTCATCAACTGCAGATGTTCAGCGTGTCCGTGCAATGCTTTCCTAGAGGTTAAAGCCTAATTTTCTCAAATTGTTTTCTTGGACTCCCAATTTCAATCAGAATAATCACAAATCGACAACTATTCAATGTTGGGTTTGTTTACTAGAATTGCCTCAGGAATATTAGAGCCAAAAATATTATCTTTACAACTATTAGTTATCTCAAAACTCCAATGTGTTTGGATGTTGCAACAAGTAAGTGCCCTAAAAAAATATTTCAGTAAATTTGCAAGAATTTTAGTTGATATTGATTTATATGCTAAAATCAGATATAAATTGTGGGTCAAAAAGAAGGCCGTGCTTTTCTAGCTAAGGTTGATTGTGAAAATTTACCACTTTTTTATTCGCATTATCGTAATATTGGTCATAGTTTACCATCTTGTAAACTTGTTAAAGTAGATCAAGAGAAAGTGGTATCTAATGAGAAGCATAATTGCATGGAAAATAAATCTAAACCTATTCAGAAAGAGGATTTAAGAAAGGAATCAATTGAATGTGTAAGAAATATAACTACTAAAACATGTGTTGATAATAATCCTCTTTTGAGATTTGTGGATTGTTTGAAAATCACTATTGATGGAGAGGTTGTGAGTACCAATACCTTGCATCCAGAAGAGATGGATGCTCAAGGTAATGAGAATTTGAGTGGTTTAGTTGATATAGAAACCTCCAGTCAAGATAAAATTGACAAGAATCATGAGGGAAATTCATATTCACTTGACACTTCCTTTTAAAAGGATCATCGAGAAAAAGTAACAAAGATTAACTTCTTTTTGAAGGTGGCTCCATTGTAGTGACAAACTCCAACTTGTCAAATTTCAATGTCTCTTTTATTCATGGCATGCATATATTAGGGCTTGTTCCCATAGATGTCCCACAAATAATGAATCTTCTGTGTGTATCCTAGGTTAACATGACTAAAAAGATGAGATTGTTGATTTGGACGGATACACAAATCAATCATTTCAATTAATAGTCTAAAAAAAGAGGAAGAACAAGAACAAACAGTTTGAGGCAAGCAATGATTCAAGATGGGTGTCTCTAGTCGCTAGCCTCACTAATTTGTTTAGTGGAAGTTATTCCTATTTGTTTCGATGTTCTTTTTTTGCTTTTGTTTCTCTAGAGGGTTTTGGTCTTGACCCCAACCCTCTTTATATTTTTCTCTTTTGTTTAACATATAATGTTACTTAAAAAATTGAAAATCACACATATATATATATATATATACCACACAATTGAAAAATTGGATATTATATTAGTAGTAAATATAAAATAATTAGATCAATATACGTTGAAAGTATAGAAGATTATATGAAAAATAAATTAATATTTAAAATTTTAAATAAAATATTTTATATTGTATGAACATTTTATTATATCTATTTAGTAATATTGATATATCTACTTTCAACAAAAAATTTTTCTTCATATATCTATAATATGAATTCAATTATATGAATATATGAAAACATTTATTAATTTAAATTTTACATTGACCCTATATCGTTTCGTCTTTAACCTTTCTCACCACTATTTTGCTGCTTCAGTGTTCCAAGAAGAAGAAGAATCATGGTCTGGGGTCTCTTCCCCGTCGATCCTCTTTCCGGTACTTGTTCTTATTTCAGTAATTAAAAGCGTATTGTTACTTTTCAGTTCAATTTTTTGACTTTAGGTCATTGATTTGCGCAATTATTCCATTTTTGTAATCTTGTATTTGTATATGATAGGTGAAGATAATTACTACATTTTCAAAACTGGAACTTACAAAGTTGGTCGAAAAGGTATTGATTATGATATATTGTTTCTTATTAGTGAATAAAAGTTTATGATTAGCATGAATTTATGTAATCACCTTTGTTGATTGAATTGTTGTTTAGATGATGGTGCTAAAGTGCTTTATTGATTTTATAGTTGTTCCTTTTCTTAAGAAATAAATAATGCCGAAAAGCTATGTAGTACATGCACCTCTGAAAAAATGCATGTATGTGTTGAACACCTGCACCGACACTTGTAATTACGTTTAATTTATTCTTTTTTTCTTCAAATTATTACCGGCATCGCTTTGTCAGTGTCGGGGCCGTGTCCGAGGTGTTCGTGCTTCATAGGTGAAAAATATGTTTTTGTTTGGTTGTTTGTTTGTTTTGGTATGGATTTTTCTTTATTGAAGTGAATGTATAAGAATTTGGTATGGATGCTATATGTCAAAGAGTGTTTAAGCCAAAGTCCTGAAGATGGTCCGTAGCGCAGAGTGGTTTTTACTGCTTAACATGCCCATTTAGATAAACGGCTTTAGGGCAATGTTTTAAAAACTGAACTGGAAATTTGAACCGTGAACTAGGGATGGTTGCAGTTCTGTCTCGGTTTGAGTAGTTTAAAGAAGTTAAGCCATGACCCGAAGGTATTGTCGGTTTGATGCCCTGTTTAGATTTTAAAACATTGCTTAAGGACTTGATGCTTGTATAATATTGGAGACTCTCAAACCATATGCTAAAGTTACAATTTGTTAAGAAAGGGTCGTAAAGGTCATATACTTGATCAAAGAGACTGTTATACTTGACCGAAGACCAACTCGTCAACTTGAAGGCTTAAATGTTGTCACGGGGAAGCCTGAGAGTCCTATTTATAATTTATCTTAACCACTTTGTACCATAAATACCAGCCATGTCCTTCACTGCGGCGGACAATATCAGAATCAAGTCAATTGACTGAAATAGAAGTTTCTTTCGAATGACTGTTCTTGAGGTAGGGTGAGCTTAATGAAAAATAAAGACGCAACAATCAGATTTAAATCTTTTAACATTTTTGTTCTAATCTTCTAGGAGACATCAATGGGCATAGCTACCTCATGCATTTGTGTTCAGTGTTAAGTTAGCCTCACAAGCGAGTGACTCTGCTATTGAATATTTAAAAAGTGAAACCATGACATGGATGTGATTTGTCCGAATGAAATTAAGTATAATCATGCAAGCTTTTCAGATTGGATGGTTATAATGACAGTGTACTGCTTTTTGGTCAACTTTTTGAAATCTTTTCATGTGATAGTTGTTGCTGATTATTGATTTAATGAATATCGTGATGATATTGTTTAAGTAATTGTTACTATGTTCTTACAGGTTGTGATGTAATCGTCACTAAGGATAAAGGGGTTTCTCGGGTTCATGCAGAAATAGTTGTTAATGCAATGAACATGTCAAATCGTCTACCAAATGTACAGTTAAGAGACTGCTCCAAGTACGGGACATTTGTCAGCAAGAATGTCGGGCTTAAGAAAAAAGTTCACGAGCTACCAAACAAAGAAACAGCATTACATGATGGCGACCTTGTTTCTTTTGGCACTGGTAGTGCTACCTACAAGTATGTTAACTATCTTTTTAGTGTGATGTTCTATTCCTTATTTTGTGCCAATTTTAGTTTTTAATGTGTTGTTGAGGTGCTTTTCTAGGCTAGGTTTATATAAGTATTAGGTAGATTAAATCTCATTATATTTTTCTGCCTTATGCGCTCTTAAACACTTTTGAATTTCATCTGACAGGTTTTGCCACGTCCCTCTCATTCTTTTCGTCTGTCCCACAAATAAAGTGGATCGATCTTTGGCAAAGAAAATTTCATCAATTGGTCAGTAGAGGAAAAACTTGTAAATCATGAGCACCTACAGTCTAATTGATTTAACTTAAGCAATTACTTACTTGAACATGATATTGCATGTTAGTTGTGCTAGTGGTGTAATAACATAGTATACCTCTTTAGCTCTCCTTTTTAAGCAGGAAACATCATTTTGGTTGAAGTACCAGACTCTCGTCTTTATTTGACCAAATTGTTTTCACGTGAATAGTGACTAAAGTAAACTTTCAATCTAGGTGCTAGTATTGCTCATACCTTGAATGTGGAGTGCACACATGTGCTGGTAGATCAACTCACGCCCTTAAAGAAGGATCTTGTTGATGCAGTTATTGCAAAAAAATCTTGTGTTCTCAAAACTTGGCTCGAGGTATATAGAAGCATTCGGTCTTCTGTATTGGTTATTTTGGGTTTTTTAATTTTTCATCATGCTATCAATCTGTTACAGTCAAGTGACGATTAATATTTGTATTTATTGTTTATGACATTAAGTTAGTTGCCTGCAAACTTATCATATTCATGTTTTGTGGTTTCTTTTTTAATTACTGTGCATCAGAAATAAAATGTTTTCTGACCGACATAGCTTTATTCTGCAAAAGAATGGGTTATTTGTAATGAGAGAGTTGATACTTATGGAATACAGCTAAAAATGTCTTGTAGTTTATGCACTATGAGTATAGGACTTGGTATATATCCATGCACTATGATATTTATGGGTATCAAACAGTCTCTTCTATGCCCAAGAGTAGAGTCGCACTACGAGTCTAGGACTTGTTATAGATTCATTACTCCCTCCATTCCTAATTATAAGATCCTTTTAGATTATTTGCTTGTCCCTAAATATAAGACTCCTTACAAATTTCTAGATACATTTATTAATCTTTTTTCAAATATATCCCTTATTAATACTACCAATTTGCATTGGAATATGTAAAGATAACATCAAATGCATTATACACAAAGGGTAGTTTAGTAACAATCATTCACAAATTATGTACATTAATTACAACACTAACTTTCCTTAATATGCATAAAAAGTCCCAAAGGGTCTTACAAACAAGGATGGAGGGAGAAGCAGTTTTGTGACCGGTAGCATTGTAAACCCTGCATCCTATGGCGGAATGTGTATCGAGTCTTGACTAAAGATAATGCTTAGTGTTTCTTGGAGTGAAAAGTTAAAAAAATCATTTATCATAGCTTGATAAATCATCGAGCATAAACATGTTATCTATTATTTAGTCTACATGTATGATGAGGGTTATTTTAAGGGTTTTGTTTAGATATGTTTTTTTACACATGATTATAAGTTGTGACTGTTTGTTCTGTCTATAGTTTTTTGCAGAAAAGAACATTAGCAATGAGATTCCTAGCTGTCATTCGTAAGTATAAGTACTTTAACTATAGAATTTGGTTGAGCTGGCCTTATATCATGATCTGACACCAGTTAGACTAACTTAAGAAGTTTTCTTTGTCTTTTCCTTTTCTGTTTCTTTTTCTTTCTCACGCAGACATATTCCAACAGTGTCAGTGGAAGGAGCATCTATCAGAGTTGCTGATCCCAAAGCTCGCGAAAACTGTTTGAAAGGATACACTTTTGTGTTGGAATCTGTGCATTTGGTAGCTGTTTTCAAATCTTCTATACTTACTCTGAAACTGAACTCAAGCATTATAATTTCTAGCTGCTAGTTTTATTGTTATTCTGACTTCCATGCATTCAGGGGTTTCTGGAAATATAATATGAAGACATCCTACTTGTTTGCTTTTGGTGTTTTCGATTTCCATTTCTATAGGCATTATGAAATTTTTTGAAACTGCATTTTAGAAGTAGATTGACAATTTTCAAAACATTGTTTTTACAGTGTTTCTGGAAATGCATTTTCTCTAGTTTACTTCCATCTTGTCACCAAATACAAAGTAAAAATTGAAAATGAAAATTGAACACGTGATAGAAAAAAAGTGGGCACTTGGTATTTTTGTAAGCTGGAACATATCTAATCTTGACACTATATTTATCTTATTCTTTGCCCTGTTACATTACAGTATAAATTTGGGGATCAGCTAAAGTCTTTACTGGAAGTAGCTGGTGCTAAAACTATTTCATTTCAAGAATTCTCTTCGTATAGCCAAGTATGTATCATTCTTTCTATTTATGAGTTCTGTACAGAACAAGGAGATACTGGTCTTTTGGTAGTAGCATAAGTGTTTAAATACATGCTATTCTATGTGCTATTCTATAATAAATTATTCAGCTACAGCCTGTGTCTTGTCCTTAGTAATTTTTAAGATCACTGATCAAATACCATCTTTTGTTTTTCAGCCCTTTCTGGCATTAATCCAAGTCAGAATTGTAGTTATTATTGAATAGCAAGACACTTAAGTTTTTGCTTGAAAATTCTGATTTCGCATTTATTCCATGTAGGGTTCAGATTATGGAGATGATAATCGTATGGTTTGTGTCACCCCAGAAGGAGCGGCATGCAAGCCTGATTTCATTAAATTATTAAGTTCCTTGCAAAAAGTCAATGAGATGGGTATAATAAATGCTGCCCTCAGTGGACATCTAGACCTGTCTATTTTGAAATCACCATGCGGTAAATACTCTATATTTCAAGTAATTTACTTGCATATTCCAAGCCCTTTTATTTTAACTCCCCATGATTGAAGAACCTAAGTTCTTACTTCGTTTTTGTTTATCTGGTTAACTGCTTAAAATATTGTGAAGTGCAATAAAACCTACTTCAACCTTATTCATGTATGTATGTACTAGTATTTCTGCTTCACCTTCTTCCGTAAAATAAAAGAAACAAAAATCATACCATTTGATTAACTAACCGATCAACCAACAACAAATACTTCAAAATTATGACTTTGTGCATAATGGATCTAAAATTAAGGAAAATAGGAAATTGTTCTTCAATCAACGGTTTGCAGTATTATTTCTTATTCCCTGCAATTGATGGTCAGTTCTAATTTTTTTTCTTCTGTTTTATTCATAAAATAAGATTCAATTATGAACAGGATGTAACTTCCAATCTTTTATTATATTTTTGCAACTTGTGAAATTTATGTAATTATCAAACCTTTATGGAATAACATATATGTTTGACTACAAGCTCACTTTTACACGATATCATGAAAAGTATGTTGTATCTGTAGCCTCTATCTTTGTGTGTGTGTGGCATCTTTGGAATACCATTACCGAATTCAAGAGATTGCCTGTAACCTAGGCAATTGCCAGCTCTGAACCATCAGCTGTGATGTTATTGTTGTCATAAGTGTTAATTTGCATTTCTTCGGCGCTTCTCCTATTTGTTTTTGCTTAACGAAGGTTTTCTTGCACTGAAATCTAGTAAAAATAATAACACATATATAGGTGTGATTTTTGTCACATTTATAGGCATAATAAGATGGGCACTATTGAACTCAAGAACAGACTATATATTTTGGAACTTCTCGAGGAAAATCATCTCAGGACAAATATATACCCACATCTTAAACAAAACAAAATCCAAAAATAATCAACTAATTACAACAATTAGATATTCAAGCTACAAAACCCCACAATTTGTAAGGAGGTAGCATAAATATCGTAAGGAACGGCTAGGGATGTAAATGGATATCCATGGGGACGGATAGTATGATATCCGTGTCTGTTCCGTTGGATAAATATGATATCTATATCCATCTCATATCTGTGCGGGTATTCGTTAAACAGATAATCCGCAGATTTTTAGATATCCGTGGATATTCACAAATATCCATAGATAACATTTTTTTCTAAATTTTTGAAAAATAATATTTTCAACTTCTTTTAAAGATACAAATACAATAAGTTATTATCACATAACATTTATACAAATCTCTCATTTTAACAAAAAGAATTATCACATTAATTTTTTTTCATTTTCACCAAAACATAATATTCATACATTTCATTTTAAAAAATGAAAGATAATGTGATTGTGAGTTATGGTGAAAGAACGAACCACAAAAGAATAGAAAGGAATACACCGGTTGGACAGAGAAAGTGGTTGGTTGGAAGGTGAAATCTTTTACGTGAGGAATGGAGTAAAGAAAAAACTTAAATATGAAATAACCAATGGGATTTGTATGGAATTTTAAAGATTTTCTTCAAAGAAAACTTAAAAAAACTACTTTTTTAGATGAAAAGACATAGTATAATAAATTAATATTTAAGTAATTATTATAATTTATTAACGGATACGGATATCCGCGGGCATGATATCATTAAACCCGTATCCATATCTATTACTAAGCGGGTATTTAAATATCTATTTATTTTATCCGTGGATATTTATTAAGCTATCCGCCCCGTATCCATGACGGATTTTATCGGCGAAAATCCGCGGGTATGGATTTTTTTGCCATCCCTAGGAACGGCTGCATGGATTTTGTTATGGACTGGACAAGTGCTGACAGATTTTATGCAATACATTGCTTCAATCATTTTAGAATATTTAGTCAAATATATTTTTTGCATGAAAAGAAACAATTAAACTCCATTCTTAGTGATGATCTCTGTACTCTAACGCGTTACAAATTACAATAACAAGATGTATGTACTGTTGCAGTGCTTATTTCATCGTCATGCTCAACAGACGAGACAATTGTAGCAGATTCAGATACTGAAGTTGAAACAGCCACATCACCCATTGCAAGTGAGGCATTATGTGGTGGAAATAAAGTAAAATATGTAAAAACAGAAGAATTAGATGACGGGGATGATGATTCCGGCACTTCACTCAAGAGAAAAGATGAGGGAGTGGAACCAACCTTAGATGATATTTCTACCAGTTTGCATGAAATAAAACATGGAAAAGCAGACATATCCCTGGAAACTTCAATCCGATCTGATACACATGCTACCAGCTTCAAGGATGGCACTGGCGGTATCCAAGTGAAGAAAGACAAGGTTGATGATTATGGAAGTGGAAATTCAGATATTGTTTACAGCCAAAATTTAGTTGTTCGATATATAAATACACTAACAAACAGAATTTCTGCACCAAACAGCAGCGTTCCAAATTTCAAACGATTTAGAAAGGTATGGTTTGGTACTATACAACTTATAAGGGGCTTATCATGTGCTTAGTTCAAACTGGAACCAAACTTGTTTTTGATTAACTAGTTGAATTTTTTTCTTGACTTGTCTAGTTTCTATTTTCCATGCTGCTATATCTTTTCATGCAAGATTAATCATTAAATATTGGTGTCTATGGCTAATTAGTACAATTTATTTGAAATTGAATTGCAGCCACATACTCAATCTGGAAATAGTTTCGACAACCTTGTTCCATTTGCAAAATATCCGTACAAGTAAGAATAATATTAATTCTGACTACTGAGTGTTACTTTAAAAGTAATTTGTCTATTTTTACTTCACTCCGTTTCTTCTGGTAATAAGTTATGTTATGTTTCATTTATTTTCAACAATAGGGATTCTGGCTATGGAAATGATGAGACAGCTGAGTATGTGAAGGAGGAGAAAAGGCGAAAGCAAAGAGAAGCCATGGCTGATGATCTATTTAATAATCAGAAGGTTAGTCCAATACTCTTCCCGTACCTTTAGAGAGAAAGAGAAGGAGGACGGGGGAGGGGGTTAAAGTCACATTAACCTAGGCTTGTTGAGTATATACCGTAACTTTTTACTTGTTCCACTGCAGGCAAAAAAACGAGGCACAGCTGGTTCTCTTCACGGCATGCTTACTAGTACTAGATGAAAGTAAACCTCTTTCAATTTTTGTGTTTAAATTATAGAAACGCTAAATTAGTGCAAATTTTGTGTTTCCAAGTGACCTTTTTTTTATAATGAAAAACATGACAAATATCTGATATGATAAATTATTTTTTTAAGAGCGCATTTGTATGTTATGTTTGTAAAGGTAAACCTCTTTCAATATTTTGTAATTTTTACAACTCAAAAATATTGATGAAACTTTAAATAACTAACAAGTGGTTATTAGTTAGTTAGGTTGGTTGCTTAACCAACAAGCTATATAAATGCTGTAAATTCTGTTTTGAGAATTAATGAAATATACCAACCACTGTTACAACTTTCACAAGTTACTTACTTCACAAGAAACCCTGCTGCGTTAACACCCTCCACCCAACCTTCTGAGATTTAACTAAATATATAGAAAAATGAGCGCAATAAGGATCAAATCATCAGACTCTGGACCATTGGGCCATAGAGGGCACCAACACAGTCTTGGACCATCTATGCCAAAAAAGCTCATGTGTGAATGAAAACACTTTTAATAGTTTATATCTGACAGCCAGAAAGTATAACCTATTGTCATTTTGCTGAGGAAAATGAGATATTTCACACTGCAAAGTTAGAACTTTTAAGTAAGTTTTATTGCTATTCTAATTGGGCCATTTATCTCTCTTGGTTTAATATACTGTGTTGCTTCCGTTCTGTGTTAACAATGGTCGGTGATATATTATGGTAGACTGTCAAAAACTTGCTATATAAATATGACTGTTAAAGAGTATGTCATTACAGACTATAGTGGAAACATGGTGGATATAATAGGTATTGTTAAAGAATCTGCCATGCTGTATGCCATGGCACTACCATGGCAACAATTTCACAACATTGTTTATGCCTTATACCAGATATATAATGTGAATATGCTTACAGTCCAAAAATGTCTATAAAACAAGAAACGATTGAACAATGTGAAATTATGTCAATTTGTTATTCTTTTCATACTTCATTTGTTCTTTCAAACTTTTCAAAATGTATGCCAATTATCATCTAATGGTTTAATGGTAATACTAATTTGTGCCACATTTAATATTTCAGTGTTTTTTTTTCCTGTGAAAAAGTGGACATGATGACATGAAGCAGAGGGCTTTGAACATACTTCACTTACATTTGTGTCCCAATTAGAGGTTAGTTGAGTGAGTCCCCTGTTTGTGTTTTGATTGAGAACAAAATGAAGTTGATCTTTATCGAAACAAAAAAGTTTTTGGCATTATATAGTTACACAATTTCTGTAATTTTGAGAGGGAGCTTGAAGGATCTATCTTGTTTCCATTGTTAACATACGAAGATATAAATTATGTGATTACCTGCAACATTTTCCTATTGAATGCTATTTCAACTCTCTTGGTCCCTTATGGTCAAGTCAAGGATACCACCATCACATGGGACAGTTTCATATTTTCCAAACAATAAAATGACATTTCACTTTTTGCACCGGGCCATACTATAAAGTTAATAGTCTTTTTCTAGATAATCAAAATTTTCAAGAGCTTCAATTTCTTTCTTCGTCTAGATGAATAAATACGGATGGAATTTTGGTTAACCAGTATCCAATAATTGCCATCTTTGTGGAATTAAGTTTTTCACAAAATTGATTTTAGAGTTAGAACATTCAAACATAAATAATTTCTCTTCAACATCAATTTCAGCTAAATCAAAATCATATTTACCAACACCAATCAAAAGCATTAGCTTTTAAACGAAACAATGGAAAATGAATGTGAGAAAGTAAAAGAAGCAAAGTGACTAATAGTTAGTTGGTTGATGTTGGACTTGGTAGGGAGAACCACAATTCGATTCCCTGCAGCTGCGATTGGAAGGGGTTGAAACCACCTAAAAGTCAAAATAAATTCTTCACAATAAAAAGAATCTAATTTTTTCATATTTTTAAACTGTGACTGAACTGTTTGGATTTTATTTTTTATTTTTCACAAATTTTATTTTTTATTTTTCACAAATTGATTTTTATTTTTATTTTTAAACAATTCAGATTTAAAAATATCAAAATAAGTTCTCATAAAAAATTGAATCCATGACCTTAAATCCACATTGTATGCCTTTACCATTAGGTCAATGTATATTGGTGCTAGATAATTCTCATGATTTATAGTAATATTAAATTCAGGACCTCTTAAGTTACTTTTTTATCTACAAAGTTCAATAATGAGTTTATATACGATAATTTGTCATGTTTAACAAATAACTTGTTATTTTAAAAACTTTGACATCATATTTGAGAAAAATTTCAGAGCAATCTAATTTATATTCATTTAAATTGATCATTGAAAAGAGAAGATTTATTATTCAAAATATGTATAGAGTTTGATATAAGTGCAACAACTTCATACATATTTATTATTCAAATTTTGTTTTGTTCACTAAGTGTAAGTGATCATTGTATTCAAGTTGAAGGTGGTGTGCTTTCTCTGTGTTATAAAATCAAAAGGTGGTATGCCTTTGTGAATGTGTTAAATAGTTAGGAGAGTCAAGTAGATCGACAATAACGTATCTCCCATAGTGAAATCTCTCATAGTGTGTGAGGGGATTAGAATACCTTGTTTGAAAAGAGGAACCAGGATATATCTTCGTGTTCTTCATTTTCAACATTTATTTTAGCGCTTTAACATTCATAGCGGTTTCGAAAAAATAGGAACAACATTGCTAACATTCATAATTAAGAAAAACTCACTAATATTGATTAATCTAATTCATTCACCCCTCCTTTTAGATTACTTTTCATACTTATAGTAAAGTGACTACAAGTTATATGAGAATATGAGAATTTAATAACAATAATTGGATTTATATTTAATAATTGAGATTAAAAAATATTTTAAAAATTTGATTAATAATTTCTCTTAACTCTTAACGGCACATAATTTAGTAAAAAACCACAATTTAATCTCAATATTTTCTTTTTAAATTTGGTGGTTCTTATTCATTCCCACATTTTCATATAACTTATCCATTCTCATTTATATATATATATATATATATATATATATATATATATATATATATATATATATATATATATATATATATATATATATATATATATATATATATATATATATATATATATATATATATATATATATATATATATGAACACTAGTTAATTTGGGTATGTAAATCTCTTATAATAAACCTATAATAAAAGGTATCTCTATAATTAGTATTGTAGATGCCAACTTGAGTTTGCTTGATTGATCTTTGAAGCGCTTCAGATGATGTGTTTTGGTGAAGATATCGACAACTTGGTCCACAGAAGTAATTGAAACCAAATGTATGGTGCCATTAGTAACAGAAGGAAGACATTTGCCACATCCATCTGAAAAAGCTTAAATTTGCAAATTGTAGTAATGGCCAAAAGACCACGAACAAATATTATTCAAGCTACTGGAGTGAATGTCTCTTCGTAGTCTATCCCATATTCTTGAGTGCACCCTTTGGCTACTAGGCAAGCTTTATAACATTATACAGTTCCACCATAGCGAGTTTTAATTTTGTAGATCTATTTGCATCCAATAGAAATATTGTTTGGAGGAAGATTAGCTAAATCCAAAGTATGTGGCTTTTCTAATGCTTGGATTTCTTCAGCCATAATTTGCTGCCAAATAGGGTAAGTACTTGCCTCACGATAAAAAGAAGGCTCATGAAAAGTTTTAATAGAAGAATATAAATGATAATCATTAAGATGTGGAGGTGCATTACTTACTCTGGTGGAATGATGAGATGCACGTACAATATCAAGATCTGAAACATATTTAGTAGAAGTAGGTGAGGATGGATGAGTATTGAGCTCATCAGAATTATCTGCATTAGAAATTGGAAAAACTCAATCGAGGTATCAGTGAAATAAAAAGATTCAGTGATAAAAGAATGGTAAAATATAGAAAGAGAGGAGAACATGGTGTTTCCCCAAAAGGTAACATTATGTGAAATGCGTAATTTGTTGGAAATTGGGTCCCAATAATGATATCATTTATGTTCCGTGTCATAACCAACAAAGCAACACAAGCGGTCTCTGATTGTAATTTTGTGCACTCATGAGATTACAAGAGAATAAAATAAGCACATCCAAAAGGTTTAAGAATGAAATATTCAAAAGGCTTACCAAACATTTTTTCAAAAGGAGATAAGATTTGAAGATTTATGGTGAGAAGTTGATTAATTGTATATACATCTGCTCGAATAAATAGCAAGTGTATTATTTTTGCCTCTTGTAATAATAGGAAGATTTCTTTAATGTCGATCTCAAGGACTGCATGCAATTATCGAGTTAAATTCATAGTTCAATTAAACAAAATTTGATTTAGGGTTTTGGTTGTAAAATTTTCACTTAACAAATAGCAGAAATATAAAGTGGCTTTTCACTGAGGAGCATGCTAGGAGTAGGTGTGTGATTTGACCATGTAATAACCTCTACTCTTGATCTCTTCAACAAGTTCATTACCTTCAACAACCAAATCTTTAGTTTGTTTTCTCCTAAGTCCTTAGTGAGAAAATCTTTCGTCCTTCATCCTAATACCTAAGTCTTTAGTGAGTTATGATGAAACTAAGCAGTTATGTTATCAAGATTTTACCGGTGACCTATAGGGTATCCCTAAATGATATCTACTATAGTCTAATTGTTCAAAAACCTTAACAATGGCCGTCCAACCTTAATTGTTAACTGTAGATCAATCCCCATTTATCCAATAGGAAAGGCATAAGAACATTGAACAATTAAATCTAAAAGAAACTATTGTATCAAAGTTAAGAATTCAAAATTAATACATTTGCAAATCAGGAACACCCCCTAGCATTGGGGGATTTAGCTACTCATATTGTTTAAAGTAATTTCAAATAAAAATTAAACATTACACATAGATGGTGAATTTTGATCTTCAATCGCTTCTGCTCATGAAAGGTCTCCGTTCTCCAACACTTGCGTAGGCTTCAATC